TGGTGGCACATGGCTGTAATCCCAACACTTAGAAGGCTGAGGTCAGCCTGGGCCATGAAGTGAGTTCCAGGGCAGCCTGAACTACACAGCCAGACCCTGCCTTTAAAAAAAAAAAGCCACAACCTCAGATAAAGCTATTTCCTGGATGAGGTAACTGAGGCTGAAAGGTTAAGAGCCTTACCCAGAAGGTTACTTAGCTTATCAGGACTTGGCCTTGGGCTCTTCCTTACCCCTGGGCAGCACCTCTGCTGGGAAGAAGGTGCCTCTGTCTTTAGGCCAGAGTTGAGCCATTTATGGGCTCCCTTCTTGTTTTGCCTGCATGACCCTCCAGTAGCTCTGAGCTTTGCTCACTTGTGTTTGCAGTTAGATTTATCCCTGGGTTTTCCTGTTGGAGGTTATTTAGTATTATTTCACTGTTACTATTGGGGGCTTAACCCATGGCATTCTCGCTGAGCTGTATCCCAAACATTTTGTTGTTGTTTTGAAACAAGTTCTTACTATGCAGTTCAGTATGGCCTTGAGTCATTTGTAGCCCACGCTGGGCTCAAACTCACAGTGATCCTCCTGCCTCAGCCTCCCAAGTGCTGGGATGACAGGCGTGCACGGAGCTACATCCCTAACCATTTTTTTATTTTTTATTTTCGTGGTACTGGGGATTGAATTCATGGCCCTGTGCATGCTAGACAAGCGCTTTTTCCTGAGCTACAGCCCCAGCCTCCCATTTTTAAATTTTGAAACAGTTGTTAAATCAGTAAGTTGTTCAGGGTGGGCTTGAACAGTTTATCTTCCTGCCTCAGCCTCCCAGAGTGCTGGGTCACAGGTGTGCTTTGTCATTTTAGCAAGACTACCTAGGAAGTATTTCTCCTGCCTGTGGGAAACGCTTAGTGCCCAATCTCTGTCTCCGCTTTCGGGGTGCCGGGCAGTGGGCACATCCCACGGTATGGACAGACCCTCCCAAACCTGTGGACCAGAACAAACATGTGCTCTTTACAAGCTAACAGACATGCTCAGTGCTTGTCCCAGTGGGGGAGGCAGACTGCCCCAGCAGGCTCGGTCTGTTACACTCCGCTGCGAACCTCACGCAGCCCTGCCCGTTCTAGAAGCAGCCACTTCATGGTCATATAGTTCCTTTCTCCCTCCCTGTCTTCCTTCTTTGTTAAGATGTAATTTAAATCACTTAAAACTCACTTATTAATCTGGGTAAAGTGGAGGATTCCTGCAACCCTAGGTACTCACAAGGCTGTTAGGAGGATCATAAGTTTGAGGGCAAGGGTTCGATCCCCGGGCCTGCCGTGCTGGCCTCGCCCCTGGGGTGCACTGAGATGGCAGTTGAGACTGGGCATGCCACCAGCTGAAGAGGCTGCTCAGAAAGCAGTGAGCAGGCCTCTGCCAATTCCAACTGGGACCACGGAAAGAACCTCGTGCTTTGCCGAAGAAAAATATCTAAACATCAAAAAACTTTAAGTAACTATGAAAAAAACCATTGTAAAATATAAAATAAATTAAAAAAGGAAAAGAAACTTTGAACCTTATGTACCAAGCAAATGCCTGGTCTAGAAAACAATGATAGTCCTAGATTACTTGATGTAAAAACAAAAACAAAAGCAAAAAAATAGTAAAATATAAAAACAAATTAATGTTTTATAGATCCTGGGAAAAGAAGTTTTAGCAAAGTACAAAAATTTATTTATTTA